TCTCTGCTATGCGACGTTGGTCGTCGCCAAAACGGATCATGTGGCCCTCAAGCATGGCCAGTCGTGATTCCAAACTGTGCACATGCGTTGAGATCGCTGCCGATTGCCGTTCCTCCTGAATTATACCGCGGGCCATTTGGATCATGTCCGTGGCTTGTTTGTTGGTTGTGTTTAGCGGTTGGCGGGTGTCTGTTTGGTCTTCCGCTGTGGTCTCGAGTGGTCCGGCATGGTACGCCTGACTCAAATCCGAGACACTTCCGGTTGGCCTAATGGTCKCCATAGGCTGGAACCGGATGGCGTTGGCCTGCAGGTCCATATCCGCGAAATGCTGGGACAATCGGATTTCGGGAGCGTCTTTCACGCCCCGTTCCGGTAGCCCGCGCTGTCTACACTCGTAACGTAATTYCGCAACGGTCAACTCATTAATGTATTTTCCCGACATCTCGTCCGGTTGTTTTTCCGGTGTTATTGACGGGAAAATATGTAATGCAGTTGTTGTTGTTGRCCGTTTATCAGTGTTTATTTACGTACGAATGTAGGTCAGTGTGGGTCTGTTGTTGTTATGCTCGCCGAGTGATTACACTAGCCGGTTTTCGTGACGTCTGTCGTGGCTGCGCGTGTGTGCATTGTCCAGTCGACTATCRCGATTACGAATGCAGTCCGGTTTTGTATATTTTTGTCCCGGGTACTTGCGTGGCGGTGTTGGGTGGGTGGTGGTGCTGGGCGGTGGTTGTACGACCTTCTCGCGCTCTAACGTTCCTACCTGTCCGTGTTTGCGGAGTCGCGCGCGGTGAAGTCGGTGCTTCCGTAAGTCGGGCGGCGCGGACCGTCGTTACGTACTTCAAAGTTACGTAACGCCGGTTTTTCCGTTATAGCCTGCAAACAATGTTTCCGTCGTATGGAATCGGGAGTTTTTCGCAAGTTGCACAACAGGGGAATGTGATGGGGGTAGTATTGGGGTAAGTAAATGATACCAAGTATTCACTTACCGGTGATTCCTGTTCGGGGAGCCAATTTTGTGGCGGTCCTRGACGGATACCGCGTGAGTCAGTGGTGTCACTAGTGTAGGAAGTGGTGAAAAGAAAAACACAAACAGTTCGCGGTATAATGATTTTTTTA